CCGTTCGACCCTTTAAAATCTTAAAAATTTTGGAAATCACTTGTCTAAAAATGTCTGTTTTTCGTTAGCTGTTAACTAGCAATAGTCAATTAACTACGCTATTTTCAACGTCCTTGGGTATTCATCTACTTGCACATTTTCTTATAGAGACAAAAAAATATTAAAATTAAATTTCTCTCAGTTTCCGTCGTGAGAATACAAAATTCAAGTAGATTCAAAATTCTTTCTTGTTTAGGTAATTTTCGCACATGTTTCTGGAAGATCCTTCAGAACGTCAATAATTCATTTTTCGCTTACCATCTCAAATATAATGAGAAAAACGACGATAAAAAAGTATAGACTCGATAGTTCAGTGGACAAAGCAGAAAGAAAGAGAATTCTTACGGCGTGGGTTCAATTCCTGCTCGAGTCACTATATATTTTTGCTTCTTTTTGTTTCTTTCGCTTGAAAACTTTCCAAAAAATTTTTTGCTTCCCGACTGACAGTACCCCGAGCCAATTTTGGTGGATACATATGCAATCGGCTATCCTCTATCCGAAAATGTAGTTTTCATCGACTCTAATTCTATTTAAAAATTTTACCTATCGATGATATGTTAACTGGTCATTTTTTAATACGAAAATGCGTGCCCCGAATTCTTTACTGATGGTTTCTAAATTAAATATTCTATTGTATATTTTGGTAACTTCGGCTGTTAAACCACTAATCGATATTTGACTAGCTGATGCAGTTGCTCCTGTAAAAAACAAATTAATCGCTGTTTCTAATGTTACCGGAATAAATTTTTTTCTAATATAATGATGCAGTTGTTCAAATTGTTCTGTACATGCAGAGATGTTCGCTAATGTACCCATAGATAATAAACTGCGCTGTAATCCTATAATGGGTATATCAAACGTGAATACCTTTATTTCGCTACTAAATGAAAAACTTCCAATCCGACTACCGATTACCTTCGATGCTTCTGTTCACAATACAAACTGTTTGTTGGACAATGGCATTTTATCAATATTAAAAGTATAACAGGACGATAAAAATAACTAAAATCAGACTTAACGAATTTTTAATGATGGACATATTGTTTAATATCTGATATCTTATCATACTGGAAAAAACAACTTACTTTTTTCTTACTCGCACTTGAGAAAACAGTAGTACTGAAGTAGAACACACTGAATTTAACTGAAGAGGCGACACAAGTATGAACTTCTTTATTTAGTGAGACTTCATTAAACGTGTAATACATTTTTACAAGGGAGAAAGACCAAAATGGTACAAGAGATGGCAAAAATTGTGTCCCAATTTGAAATCGAATTCTTCTGTATACCATGTAATGCAGTTCATCCATCATAAAAGGCATGAGCACACACATAAGAAGCAGAAGAATGTTTTTCAAATACGGCTGCATAACACAGTGACGTACATGACCATTCGTTTATATATGTCACACTGTATAAAATGAAGTGTTAAAATGTTGTTGATGTTCTAAATTAACAGTCAAATAATATATCCTGAAATTTATGTCAGACCACTTGATTCCCTGTACCAAAAGGTTTATGGAAAAGGCTCACTTTTAGGCATAATATTTTCTGATCTGTACATATACTATTTTTCGATGATGAACCAATTATCTTTGTATGACAATATAATATTTGTACATATATCCGGATGCGTACAACAAGAAAAATATAGTCATTCACTTATATATCTCACGCCCTTTAAAATAAACTGTTAATGTTCTAAATTAAAAATCGGATATTTCGTATTTCTAATGTACGACACTATTCAACGAAAAATTCAATTTTATTAAGCTTAGCTATGCTGTTGGGTTTCCTAGTGTGTACAAACGTCTGCAAGCTAGATAACGAACTTTGTTTATCACGGTTAGTATTTTCCTGGAATTACAAGTTTTTTTTTGTGCTGTATAAAAACTACATTGTAACTTGTGCATGTGCTACAGGCTCGTCCTGTTACTTTCATGAATTACATGTCGGAAAAATTTATACCATTTTGCTTGCTTATGACGTGTATGTTTATCATCCGATGAATTATCAAGAGGTGGAAGTTGTTGGCAAAAACACGCTTACTATGCTATCTGACTTATGTGATTTAATATGATTAACACCAATAGGATATAATGGAAATACGGCTCAATGCCCCTCACTCTCACCCTCAATACCAACCAGTTTGACACGATTGTGTTGGTAAGCATACCAGTATTGATAGTAGTTCGGCTATAAATTTATTATTTCATTTCAGATAATAACATCGAAGCATAATACTCAACGCAATCATTGATAACAACAGAAAAAACTGCGACAAGAAGAACCTATGACGGTTATATTATTCTGCCATTAACATATTCTGCATTATCGCAAAATCGACTTTTTATACGCTGAACAGAATCGGTCTAAATTTTTTTCTGAATAGCTTATTGAATGAATGTACGGGCAGCAAAATATCTCTTTATTCAAATCACTTTTCACATTTTGGCGCGAACAGTGGCGCCATCTTAAACGTGCTAGAATGCGAAAAGTGATCTGAATAAAGAGATACTTTGCTGCCCGTAGATTCATTCAATAAGCTATTCAGAAAAAAATTTAGACCGATTCTGTTCAGCGTATAAAAAGTCGATTTTGCGATAATGCCTTGTGTGACAAAAAATATTCGGATGCAAAAGAACGAAATCGTGGTATGACTATTAAGAATGGGGTCTTACACTGGAGCATACTATTCTGTTTTCTATTTGTACAAGTTTAAGTTTTAATGAAGGACGTGTTTCACTGACTTTGGAAAAAAAATTAATTTTCAAGGATGGATAATTTGTCAGAAAATTATTTGTGATAGTTTGTTACTGTATTTTACTGTTGTTGAATAAACGCGTTCATCGTCAAAACTTTTCTTTTCATCAGTTCAATGGATCATTTTATTTTTCTCGTCCAGTATAAGGAGAGAAGTACATTCACCCGTCTGATCTGCCGGATTCCTTTGTTGAATGTAGTTTCTCATCGTGAGCAATACTAAATTTTCACAATGGAACTTAAATCCGGCTTAGCACATTTTACACATGCAAGTAATCCTTATTCTTTTTTGCAAAAACAGGGACACTGACAACCACAGCACACACTCTGCTTTGCACAATATGTTGCATATAGATAAATTCATCCATGTTTGGAATCGCAGTAATTTTGCACAACTTTTTTAATGTCAATATTTGACATAACAATTCTCTCACTATAAAGTGGCAATATTAGTTGCTATCTATCAAGTATGCTTTTAATGTTGAATTCAGATAAACTATGACCAGTTTGTTGATTGAGTATCTACTGGATGTTCTTAGAGCGATGTGGATCATAAAGTGATACACAATCATTTAATTGTTGTAAATAAACAGCATCGTAAATATTATTAAAAGTAGAGAGCAATAAAGGTCTATAAAACATTTATTTTACGTTTTACGTTTATGAATATTTATGATTAACAGATAGCTATAGAAAATTTATTCTGAATATGAAAATGATATGCTTCACGAGAGCAAAATACAGGTAATTCTGTCGATACTGTCCCACACTTTACATGAAGGTCTGCCGCAAAAATCGCGACATATCTCATTTGAAAGAGCATTTAATTCTGAGTAAGAATACGTCATTTAAAACCTTTAAAACATTGGCTTGGGATTCTGGGAAGATTCGACATTTGAGGATTTTATAGGTTTCAAGACCAATTCATACCTAATTATCTCAGAAAGGACAGAGGCGATAAACCTAAACGCTTTAGGATATAGACTAGAGACAACAAGGAATAAATGACTCAGTTGAAAACATTTCAAAATGTTTGCTCTACTGTAAAGCATCTACAGCTATCATATTACTTTTTTATTTCTCTTACTCAAAACTGATATCAACTCATAAAAGATTTTCGGTGAAATCGTATATATGTATATATAACTTTTTACATAATTTAGTGAGAACAGGTGATAATACTGTGTAAGTACGTTTTTAAAAAGATTTCGTTTCGTTTCAAATGAAAGATGCCAACGAAAATCTTAATATCTATAACAAACTAAAAAAAAGCTGGTTCGTTTTTGAATAACTTTTGAAGGTGTATCGGTATCTCGACTTCTTCTGCTACATCTATACCCACACTCCCACGAAAATGACATAGGGTACATGATCGAATGTTGTAGTTTGTGTAGAAATATGTAGAACGAACAGTTTTGTGCTATATTATTGAATGAAAACCGCGTAGAACGAATTAATTTTCTAGATTCAGCATCAAAGCTGAATACGGAAAAGTTGTTAAATTTGCTCTGGACCTAGAGCTCTGCTGGTGATAGTGGTTAGAATCAGAATGAATTCAAAATGTACAGAGCGATTTAAAAATCTATCTAGTTTTTCTATCTATAGTGGATCTGAGTGTGTGGGTTTACAGAGAAATGATTGACAGTATCTCCCTCAGCGAAAAATCCCGATCTTTGCTTTCTTTTAAAATGAACATCATCATTGGGATCGAAGAAAAGTACGAAAAGTTGTTGCAGATAGAACCGTTTATTTCAAATCGAAAATTCAAAATGAATAAAGTGGATTCAGAACTGATTCTGGATGCTAAACAACTACCAGATACGACTGTTACTTCACAAATGAATCAGGCACCACCGAAAGAGTTCCCAAAACCTTTGGCTGACTTTAAAAAATATCTAGAGTCAAAATTTTGCTACTATTCGAAACCTATAGAAAAAGCTGAACTAGTTAGTGTTCAACCAAAAATTGCTTATCAATGCCAAATGAAAATACTCATGGAAACAAGAAAATTACGCACGGAAAAGACACCTTATCGTTGGGATACTAATACAGTTCTGGGCAGTCATTCATTAGGTAAGTTGATCTGTAAATGTTTAGTTTTGTCTTCTAATAAGCTTGAGCATATTGAATAGTTTTTTTTCATGTGGTCATGCATCTTTCATCATTTTTTTGTGATTATTCTCCTATAATAAGTCTTAAAAAATGAAGAATATATACAGATGAAGAAATTACCACGATTTCCAATATGAGTTCTTAGTTACGCGTATTTTCAATCAAAAGTGAAAATATCCACCCTAACTATAAAAATATCAGTTTTCCTTCAATAAACTGTCCGGTTCTCATGCATTTTGGTAATGTATTCTTTCTTTATGAATTTGTTTTTTTCCACGTTCGAGTTTTCTCTTAGACAGAGTTCCAAATAGAATATAGATTTTCTTATAAACGTTGTATTCAAAGTACATCTGATGCTTCACATTAAAATCATATACGGTAGTCAATCAAATGTGAAATAATCTTAAAAGTTTTGCATATTAAAGATTTTCGTTACAGATGTTTTCTGTGACCGAAACATGCCTTGATCACAGTTTTATCATTGTTTTGTTTGATAAGAATAATGAAATATGATGTGATTATTGCATGATCTATGTTTTCTACAGGGCGGTTCTTTGAGAATGCTGAACATTCTGGTGAAACAGTAGGAGATATATGGAATGATTATCGACTATCTCTTCCATCCGCTGATAAATTTAGTAAAACATATGCGTTATCTGACAGTGTCTCATATACAAGATGTACAAAATGTCGAGCAAAAAAATTAGTTTCATGCAACTACTGCACCGATGGTCGAATCTAGTATGATCGATTTGGTTTCAGTGCTATAACTTTATTATATATGTTATATTTGTAGCAATAATACACAATATTGTTCTAATTGCAAAGGTGTTGGCAAAGTAATCTGCTCTGACTGTAAGGGATACGGAGGTTTTCGTCATTTACCAACCTTAACTGTTAAATGGTTTACTCGGTCTTCTACATGGTTTTATCAAAACTCATTTCTGCATAATAAGAGAATACGTAAGGGACAGCGCACACTTTTCTGGTCAGCAAAACAAGAATCATGGTCAAAAGGATCTTCAATAGAAAACTTTGTACAGTCAATATCTGAAGAAACACCTGACATACCTTTGAGAGCAAATATTATTAGAGATTATAATGAAAAACATCTTAATCCTACAAGAAATAAGTACAATGCAATGCGACGCATAGATTTTTTTGTTGAACGCTTGAGTTTTGAGGAAATATGTTATACAATGGGAGAAAATTATGTTAACAAACGAAACTCGACATCAGGTATGAATTTTGTATTATTATATATTCTTTTCAAACTATTCTGTGTTACTTTAGAAAACACGTTTCGATTTTGTCAATATCCTAAACTTCAGGGACAAACTATGATTTATGAAAATGATTATCCACTTAATTGTTGTGGCTGTTTTGGAGAAAAAGCAGCTTGCTATTCATCGTGCTGTAATATCCTCTAGAAGTGCACGACTAAATTAACATTGCTAACCATCATATAAATATTGCTCACTAACATTCTTTAATCATAATTTTTTAATGTTTGTTTCTTAGTTTATATAAATGTTTCTCTCAATGATTAATGTTAAGGATTTTTATCATCAACATGCTCGGACTCATGAGAATGAAAAATTACACACTTTATTTGGTATTCACGCTATATTACGAGGCGATAAAACGAGTTCAACATGTAGAAAAAACACGTTCAAGCGGCACCGTTGACGTCTACAGTGCAAAATCATTTTACAACTTTTTCAAAAAAGACGATTACCCGTGTATTCATCAGTACGTTGAGCATCTGGATGTGATCGAGTCACAAAGAAACACTTGCAGCTCTTAATCAGGATCGGTAACTAAGTAGTCGGTCCAATCGTGATCAATGTCATCATTTTCATCGATTATGTAACGGGTATAACAGAAATAAATGCACTTTTTTATTTTTGCAATAACTTCGTCGGGTTTTATCCGATCAACTTAATTTTTTTTTATTAGATTTGCCTTGAAATTCTCTACAAAAATATGTATCGACCTTTTGTAGATATTTTAAAAGTGCCTGATTGCAACATGAAAAGTAAAGATTTGCAAAAACTTGTACTTCATAAATGGGAAAATGGCTATACCTCAGCACAGATATTTCGTGATTTAAAGGGAGGTATTTCAAGGAGGCAAGTTTATCAATGGTGCAAAATGATCAGCAAAACAGGGCAAATTCAGCTGGCATATTCTCCAGGTCGTCCACGTAATGCTCGAACAAAAAACAACGGTTCAAAAAGTCGTCTGAAACGTAAAAAATGACTGTCAACAAGAAAACTGGCTGCGGAATTGACTATTTCTCACATGTCGGTACATCGAATACTCAGAAACGACCTAGGATTGAAGCCCTATGAGAAGCGTATTGAACCAGCACTCACGGATCTTCAAAAAATTAAGAGAGTTAAATTTTCAAACTGGGTTTTGAACAATTTCAAAAAGAACAAACTTCTCGAATTCTGTTTTCGGATGAAAAATATTTCGACTTGGATGGCATGTACAATCGCCAAAATGACAGAGTGTGGGCTGTAGATCGTGCGGAAGCCGACAAGAATAGTGGAATCAAGCAAAAACAAAATTTTCCAACAAAAGTTATGGTTTGGTTGGGAGCATGTTCGAAAGGACTCACACCTTTGGTTATTTTTGAAACTGGCACTATGGATCATCAACGATATATCAAGGAAGTGCTACCAATTGCTAAAAAATATGGAGATGAACAATTTGGAGACAATTGGACATACCAACGGCATGGCATGAGACCTCATACACACGAACTATCACTGGAATGGTGTTATGAAAATATGCCTGGAATAATCAGCAAAGATCGTTGGTCACCAAATAGTCCCGATTTGAGCCCCTTGGACTACAGTATTTGGTCCGAATTTGTACAACAAATTAATTGGAGTGTTGCTCGATCAAAACAAAGTTTAATTGAAGAATTAAAACGTGCTGTTAAAAAAATTAGGCCAGAAATAGTTTTACAAAGTTGTGAAAGTTGGACGAAGCGATTGCACCGTTTAAAAAAAATTAACGGCGGTTATCTTCATTAATAAAAATACATGTTTTTGTAGAGAATTTCAAGGCAAATCTAATAAAAAAAAACTGTTTCGTAAAAGCTGCATTATATATTTCTCTATTCATTGACGTCATCTTCACTTGTGCATCGACGCCCTTGTCCAAAAATAAGTAACGACAACGTAAGTAATGAAATGTAAATAATGACTACTGCCTTCTGCAGAGCGGCTTACTCCCTTAAAATCATTCAGAATTTCAGAATTGAGTAATGAAATGTAAGTAATTCTCAATCCTGAAAGGATGAGTCTTCACAGCGTTAACTGTTTGTCCGCTTGTGCGCGTTCTGATTGGTCGAAAATTCAAACGGTGTTTCTCGGTCACACAAACAATAATTCGGTTATTTATCACGGCTCACAATAGGCGCTGAACTCGAATCTGAGACTCATTTGCCTCACCACCCCATTGTTGACGGATGGGGGTGGGGGGGAGGACAGGATCGACGGGAAAACAGCATCTCTCTTTTTAAAGTCAAAGAGCACGACAGTAGGAAAGATAATACTTGGTTACTCCATATTCTGAGATACTAACGCACTAACTATCGTCTACCTTGAGAATTAGATCATCTAATTCTCAAGGTAGACGATAGTTAGTTTTCAATTTCAATTTCTTCAGTGAAGAAATTGAAATGAGGCACTGTGTACGATCTGGAACACTTTTGGTTCCGTTAGGATATTATATTTCTTATCCATTAGCTCACTGAACATCAACGCATATAGAATTTGTTCTCTTATTTGAGTTTAAGAGAGATGTCGTCGTATATGTATGTTACGTGCTTCATTTATTTCGTTTTTCTTATCTTGGCACATAACATACACATTCAGCGACTTTCTTTAAAAAGTCTATTTTCATCAAATATCTGTCGAGTACACGTTTTATATGTTCAAGGAGGGAGTGCTCACTGTAAAACTATTTCATATTGCACCAACTTCGCGAACTACAATTACACCAATTACAGAAGATCCATTCCCTATTTTTATGGTAGTTTAAAGCACACGAGTTGTACACAATACTGATCTAACTTTTAGAAAAGGATCTCTTTTAGTCTTTGAGAAATATAGTCGTAAATATTGTTCATCATCCTCTAAAAAACCAAGCTTTTTCTTGCTCGATTTTCAGAGACTTCTTTTGCTTGTCTCGAAAACTTGGCTTTTTAGAGGATGAATCACAATCAGGGAACAAGAGTCGATGAAGAATTGTTTCTTTCCAGAAGTATTTCAAGTAAAATTCGCATTATCATATGTTCGAGTACATTTGACTGGTGTAGAAGTCAAAAGTCTAATTAGACAATTTACCCTTCATCGACTTTATCCTAGACTTAGAAATTTTTTTAGACTTTCTAGAGCTTTTAGACTTTTTTATTCCAGAGATTTTCAAAACGTTGTCGACGCTTGCTTCTCTTTCGACTCGTCTCTGTGTGAAGAGCAGAAGCGACTGACCTTTGCTTGAATTAGTTCTCTGGCAGAGGAAATCGAATAAAACCGCCCGTTACGAAATTTCACCGTTTTTGCTCTTCTTTGCAGATGGTTTGGTATATATTTTTTCTGTCACAGAACTACTTGGCAAGCTCTGATTTGCACATAGATAGATCAGAGGGCCTCGATAAGCGCCCTTGCTCTTTGAAAAATTTACTGTGAAATCAGGATTTTCTTACCGCGAAAATTAGATCTTTGACTTACGAGAATATCCCACAGAGTAAAGCGTTTACTCGTATTTTCAGAGTAACACAATTACTCTCATTTTTAGAGTATAAAAGGCTTACTCTCAGTTTCGAAGTGAAGCGCTTATTCCCATTTTCAGAGTTAGGCGTTTACTCTCAATTTTGGAGTAAGATATTTATTCCCATTTTGAGAGTAAAAGGCTTACTCTGAGGTTCGTAGTTAGGAATTTACTCTCTTCTCAAAAGTAAGATATTTACTTCTATTTTCGGAGTAAGACATAGACTTCCATTTTTAAAGTAAAGCATTTGTTTTTTCTCTTTTTGTGTTTGAACTGTACTGTTTGGTTGAACAAAATTTGCGTTAAAGTCAACTGCTTTTTGTTAAGGTGCATGTAATTCAAAATTCGAGTAAGATTTTTGAATAAAAAATCTTCAAAATACTAAAAGGATCTCAAATTCCGATAGATCCTTAGGTTTCAAAAAAATTCAAATTTTTTTTTCTTTTGTTCTTCTAAATTTTCGAAAGTATTTTTTTGGGATACAGTATTAAAAACTCAGTATGAGAATGATACTTGATCGAGGTTGAAGCCAAAGGTCCATCCAGTATGGACGTCTTGGACTCCTCCCGTAAAAGGTTCCTAGACAATTTTACAAACCCATTTAGTTTATTTTGTAAAGAGATGAAGCCGACTTTTTTGTTTCATTAGAGTCGCCATTAATCGAGCTTTAAAAGTAGCTTGAAGTATTTTAGCTTTTAGTATTTTGAAGAATTTTTATTCAAAAATCACTTTTCTAAAGCTAAAATGTAGATATTCCTGATGAGCGTCGAATTCTGCATCGAATGATGTATAATATATTAGAAAAAAAATCTTACTCGAATTTTGAATTACGTGCACCTTAACAAAAAGCAGTTGATTTTAACGCAAATTTTGTTCAACCAAATAGTACAGTTTTTAGTTGAAAATTGTTATTTTGCTCTCAGATCAATAGTAATTCAACAAACTAGTGCTATTCCGATGGTATAGATCCGGGGCCATGTTTTAACAACTTGTTTTTATACAAATCAAAATTTGAGCTTTTGGAGAAAATAATGGCTACCTCTCTACCTCTCTAGATTCTGAAATGGAAATAGTTCAAAAGCAGATTAAATTAAAGCCGTATGACAAAATCAGTAAGTTTGGATTCAACATAGTTAATTATTCGGATTCACCATTCATTATCCAGTCCGCAGCCAGCTCAGCCTTTTAGGGTAGATACTAGAAGAGTGGGGTGACAAAACGGGAAGAGAAAAACTTTGGACTTCCAAGAGGAATGTAAGATATTGAATTTTTAGGGAAATTTCGTCATCGACGGATAGGTTCAATCCATATAAAACCTACCACCATTTACATCGACTTTTGACGTCGGTGACAAGACCTATTTCATATTACAGAGCTGAGCAACCTGAACCGAATGATGAAAATTGCAAGTCTCAAGCCTTGTTGGAAAAAAAAAGTTATAGCCATTTGCAAAAATGCATCTTCATCATTTTTCGGGCAGCTTCGGCCGAACTTGTAGAACGTCTGCGGATCATAGTAGCTAATGTAGAACCTTGAACTTGGACTAAAGAGCGCGTCGAGTTCTATATATTTCGATGAAGAAAAGTTATGCTACACCTTGGGGTAGAGATTTCTGAAGAACCTGGTTTTCTAGAAAATCTAACAATCATAAAATTTCTTCCAGATGTTTTTCAACCATATCATTGGATAGCCCTTCAATTCTCCACAAAATGAGATGCTGGCCGAATTTCTACGATTTTATCTCAAAAAGTGCCGCAGAAAATACGATATAGCTCAAAAACGGCATTAAAGCGAATGAATTTATATTTGTAATGTGAAAAAACTTGTAACTCGGTCGTCCAAGAGCGTTTTCGCTGCGAGAGTAAAATGCTATAACTTTTTTTCCAACTAGGCTAGCGACTTGCGCTTTTCACCATTCGGTTCAGCTTGCTGAGCTCTATAATATGAGATAGGTCTTGTCACTGACGTCAAAAGTCGATGTAAATAATGGACAGAGGCTGACCGTCGATGCTGAAATTTCACTAAAAATTCAATATCACGCGTTCCTCTTGGAAGTCCAAAGTTTTTCTTTTACCGTTTTGTCATCCCACTCTATTAGTATCTCCCCTTTCAACAGGATAATGAAAAACTAGTTATTACTACAAACGGTCGTGCTTTTGTTCCTGATATTAGTCAATAATGATCAGAATCGACAAACAGGCAAATTGTGATTATTTTACTTTCACACTGAATACAGGCGACGTAGAAGTCGCTCAATCTAATCCTCGTAGAAGTCTTTGACCTGTCTTGCTCAACATTAGTCATCTTCCTTATAAACTGTCCTACAAAACAGATCTGACCTGGACCAAAAACACCGTCACAAAAAATCTTTCGAAGTATTCTCAAATCTGCTGTTGACGACCTTCTCCTTTTGGATCATGGAATTCTTTCTGCTTTTTAGTGTTAATGATCTTCCATCAACTTGCAAGGTCCAGAGCTCTGACGTGATCAAACAGCATACCCTTTAAAGAGGAATATCCAAAATGTAGCAATAATCGCAAGAAGTATTACTTGGGAATTTTAAATTATCCAGCACACTATCGACTTTGACTGTTCGGTTATACAATGACCATTTACGTGTACACTCCATATTCTGAGATACTAACGCACTAACTATCGTCTACCTTGAGAATTAGATGAAGAAATTGAAATGAGGCACTGTGTACGAGAAAAAAAATGTTTAAAGATAAATACCTAAATGTCCTTTCCGAAAGTGAGTGGTATCAATTTTTGGATTTCATGTTATTGCATCACTTGCTTGTTTTAGTTCACATGATTGATCAGGCCGATCTGGGTATGTTCCTGGAGTTTCATACGGCAATACACGAATTGAGTTTTTACTAGCACTAACTACCTCTCCTGGATGTAGAGAAACCGTGCGGAGCATTGTACAAGACTCTGGATCTTACACGTTGATGGAAGATCATTAACACTAAAAAGCAGAAAGAATTCCATGATCCAAAAGGAGAAGGTCGTCAACAGCAGATTTGAGAATACTTCGAAAGATTTTTTGTGACGGTGTTTTTGGTCCAGGTCAGATCTGTTTTGTAGGACAGTTTATAAGGAAGATGACTAATGTTGAGCAAGACAGTTTATAAGGAAGATGACTAATGTTGAGCAAGACAGGTCAAAGACTTCTACGAGG